CCCCAGTTTATGTACTGAGCATGACGTCACATGGGATGGAATGTCCCTGTGGCCAGTTGGGGTCAGCTGTCCTGGCTGTGCCCCCTCCCAGCGTCTTGTGCACCTCCAGCCTTCTCAGTCGGTAGAGCATGGGAAGCTGAAAAGTCCTTGACTAGTGTAAGCATTACCTAGCAACAACTAAAACATCGGTGTGTTATTGACATTACTCTCATCCTAAATCCAAAACACAGCACTGTACCAGCTACTAGGAAGAAAATTAACTCTATCCCAGCTGAAACCAGGACACATGGACAGAAATACTCCCGCTTGGGCTGGCCCGTCAGTATTTCCACGGCCAGGTAAAATGGCTTTGGCAGGCTGGTGCTGGCCCTCGTGGCTCCTGTTCATCGTCCCTGCTCTAACCGGGGTATTTCCATACTGAAACAGGATGGCACAGGCAAAGCAAAGACCTCTGCCCAAACCAATGTGGCCAAGTGCAAGCCAAGTGCTGTCAATAACTCCCAACCACATGCCCCTGAGAATATGCCTCAGGGCAGACTCCAGCCTATGTGTTTTTCTCCTCATGTTGTCAGTTTGAGGTGCTCTGGAGAGGTAAACAAAATTCCCATTAACCTGGGTGAGGGTGGTTGACCCTTATCCTGTTGCTGTGGAGAAAGGAGGCTTGACGTTGCAAGTTAGTGCTGTCAAAAGTACTGCTGGGATGCTGCAGACAGAGCCCAGAAAGCAGTTTAACCTGTCGGCAAAGGAAACAAATTTCAGCCTAAACCATGTAGCAGATATAAATAGGTAGATGTTGAAACAGAAGTCACTGCCGGAACTTTTTTATAAAGTGGTATAGGGAAAAAAAGTCCCTGCTGCATCTGCCCTCCACCTACCTGCCCTCCACACCAAGGGCTGAGACGATGCACTTCAGAGCGCCAGGATGGCAGTGCCTAAATCAACCCATTAACCAACATGCGTCAACCCAAATCACTCATAAACCCATATGCATCAACCCAAATCACTCATAAACCCATATGCATCAACCCAAATCACTCATAAAGCTGCATGCAAAGGTCAGGACTGGCCTTGCACCCCTTCTGTATCATTAACTGACACCACACCGGCGCTGCCTGACTGATGCCAGCACTAGCACATTTTCCCTACAAGCTACCTACATTTGGCAGGGATCAGTGGTCACCTTTCAGGGAAGGTCTAAAGTTCCTCTAAGCACTTTTATTACAAATCTTAGGCCGAGCCCCGCTCTTCCAAACTGGAAGGTGAGACGCACCATTTGCACAGCTCACCTGGTGACCTGCTGGCCCAACTCTGCTTGCTGCTGCTTTTATAGTATTTACTCCCTCCCTTTACAGCCCTGGGGGCTGGAGAACCATCTCCCCCCCATAACTAACTAGGAGATCCATCACCTAAGCAAAACAATGTGGATCCCTCTTCCTACACGGCTGCTTTGATGAATACAATTGTCATATATATGCACACATGCACACACACACACACACACACACACAAAACGATACAGAGGGGGTTTCCACCTTGATTTTCGGATGTAATATTTCATGGA